TTAGTAATATAACAATTATTTTTATAGCAAAATTTAGACTTGAACATTACTGTAACAACAGGAGTAAAATTATTATTTATGCTTCTCTCAGAACAACTTTTCGTTATTACTGTTTAGGGAAATTTTATTTTAATACATTCTAGTTTCCAGCATAGACTTCAATGTACATTTCCTCTACTTTACATACATTAAACTAAAATAATAGTAAACTCTTTTCCAAGAATCTTACAGAATAAACTGTTACTTACTAGTTATTACTATAATTTTAACGTTTCTCTCAAGTTTGTTATTTCCGTGCCAATTTTTGATAACCAATTCAATTATTATTTTATAATATTTTGCATTAAAATAAATTGTAAGACATGGCGCTACATGATTAAGAACTTGTGTTCTCTATTTGTGTATTTTCTTCTGTGTCCACAGGTTAGCATACTTTTGAAAAATATAAATATGAAACTAATCTTTCATATAATTTTACTATTACGCTAAAAAATATCAAATAATCCATTATGTATATAATGTATCGATGTTTTATTTCTGCTACATAATTACAAATTTGTCACTGTAATGAAACTTTAAGCTTATTTGCAGTTATTTTAGGATGGAGGGTCGGAAAGTAAATATTGACAAACCCAAGCCTAAAAACGTGTGGTATTAATTACGGCAAAGATAATCTCCGGTTTATCTTTATGGAAAACCAAAATTAAAAATACAATTGAAACTTATCCTGACTTGAAATAAAACACAAATTTAAATGAAATATCTTATGCCACTTGGTGTTTAAAATCCGATTAGTGTCAAGTGATGACACCTATATTGGTTGTGCAGCAACAACCATGTGAATTTGCAGTTACGACAGTGTTATAGTAACATTTCGTATGGTAATTATTAACTGAAGTAGACGCGTGACTTGATGGTTACGTAGAGACAGCAATTGTTCAATAGTTACCTATATTGCACATAACCGTTTCTTTATCTTATTGCTTTATTTTAGTCGTTTTATAATATTTATGAAGCACCGTATAACATCTAGTAGAATTTTACGGAAAGACAATATACAGTTTGTAATGACAAAAATAACTAATTTAGCTTTACTTCAATACATTATTAGTCACTGATAAAACAAAAAATACTGAGAAAGTTGTGAAGCACCAAAATAATATTAAAAATTGGTTTGAGAATTAAATCAAATATAGAAGTTTTAGTTTGATAAGAACAAGTGACCTCAAATAATGAATTCGGTCATTGTTTCCTCATGGAAGAAGAATGCAGTTTAATATAAAAATAGTTAACGTTCTTTCGTTTACATACAAACAAAACAGACATTTGTGACTTCAAAAAGTTTCAATGTGTGTTTAATTTTATGTATTTTTAATTATTGTTTTGTTATTTATTCGCTAGATGGCCCTAGGGGTTCACTAATCACGCTAACAGTTACACTTTGGTGAATCCGTAAAAGCACAAATTTTTAAGACGTTCGCTCTCAGGTTCTATTGTATTTTATGGTCTTCACGGGTCTGGGAATAAGAGGATTTTTCAATATGAAACCATCAAGAAAAGACTTTTATTTTCGTACTTAAAATTGTATTATACTTTTTGTTGAAATACTACCTGAGATGAATCTTTTGTGGGTTGAAACATTTAAGATAAATGTTACAATATTGTCTTGACTTAATGTTTTTTTTTAATGGTCAATTGAACAATCTAATAAGATTTTAATTTAATTGACTTGTGTAGTGTGAAATTTGTGAACCTAATAAATTCTGTTTGGAAAGTAGAAATTACATTTAGTCGTTCTTTTAACAACAATTACATTTGATTTGAGAATAGTACATGATTTGAAATAAAAAATCAAGCGTATTTACCAAATATAATTTATAACTTAAGATATGTATATATAACTAAAACTATTCTCAAAAATGTAACTTTTAAACACAACGAGACAATAAAGATAAAAGTTTTCCACTCTAACTAACACAAACCACGGATAAAATGTTGAATTATTAAATTTTCTGCTTTGCTATCTTTCGTAACAATTTAAGATTTAATTTCAATTCAAAGTTAACAAAAGTATTTTCCTAACTTGAAATCATCTGCGGATTTATTAATATTACTTTACAACGATGGCTATTGAAATAACTGATATTAAATATTTATATATTTGTTAGATAATGAGAGGTAAAGTTATCTAATTTATTTTATACCACTTTTCATTTATGTTTTGGCAACATCTGTATACATATGACACTCGACAATATATCGTTTTGTGAATTTTTTTTAAAGAAACCCTCTTTTTATTCTATTTCATATAATATTATCAAATGAATATTAGCTTATATTCTATTTTACATATATATATGTAGATGCAATAGAGGTTTATGTAGGTACGTCCCTGACTCTGTTATAGAGAAAGTTCTTTGAGATACTTACAAAATTTAAGAATTAATAATTTAAATAGTTGTCAGTATTGAATAAAAATGAAGGAAACTTAGATTATAAAGAAGTTATCATAGTGTTGAGGTTCTTTACTAGGAAATAAGAATAGAGATTTATCAAAAGAGTACAACCTCTTCCAACATCTTCCTTCAAATAAACGTAAAAGGACGCTGCTTATACTATATCAAATGTAAGGAACTTAGTTTTAGATATTACAAACAATATCTCTAAATCTAGTTATAAACTTATCTTTATGACGGTTTTATTCAGTTAGTTATAACAGTAAGGTGAATAGACTGTTACTGAAATATTTCACAAGCCACGGCTTTTTTTCCACAGCACGCGTATATTGTACGAATTTTCGCGGTCAGTGACAATCAAACAATGTAATAAAAATAATATTGACACGTCACATACAATCGATCACAAACAAAAAGTTATTGAATCACTTCTAAAGTTAATGTATATAGAACAAAGATGTTTTGTTTTAATTTTAGATTGAAAACTTTGATAAATAATCAAAGTAATTGTTATAAGCTTAAGACTTTCATTATACGAGTATGTTAAAGAAATGGCTTCTTCATTTTATTAAAATTATTTTATTAATTATTAACTAATTACCCCGAGACTTATATGTACCATACTGTGGGTTAAGTACATTGACAAATGTATATTAGTTGCGAAAAATTAAACAAAAACTTTATTTCTGTAAAAATAAAATGAAAATTAATAAAATGGCATTTATATAAAGAGTTGCAACTACTTTATAAGCAAACTATTATTTTCCCGTAAGTTTTAATTATATCATCGTTTTAAATTAAGTATTGAAATTAATTTGAACATCAGTATTAACTTTCTTTATTTCTTTGATATAAAGTTACAATATAGTTTATAACAATGACGGTGAGAAGAAAAGCTAATATGGGCATAGTAAATCATAGATATAAGGATTTATGGTAGAATCTTGTCTATGGATTACTTTATTATCACACATTTTAATGATTGACTTGAGATGAAGAATACGTTAACATTATAAGGACTTTGGAAAAAAAATCTATGAAATATCTTATATCCAAAAAAGTTATCAATTGCATTGCAGTTATATAAATCACTATATAATTAAGAAAAACTGATGTTGAATCTGAGGTGAAACATATATGAATGAAATTGTAAACAAATCGTAATGGAAATGTGAACACATAAATACCATAATTTCTAATCAATATCGCTGTGTGATCTGTTTAAAATATATATATTTGTTTAACTTTTAATAATTTATAAGTAAAAGTTCGCTGTTAAACTAAATTTACAGTGAAACCGATTAAGAAAATGCATGTTCGAATGAGATAGACCTGCTATATTTAAAATAATTAATATAATTATTATTACAATAAAACAGTTTAATAATTTGTATCGAGATATAAATGAGCTATAATTCTTTAATATTGAAATATTGTTTAATGTTAACAAAAAGATAGATGTAACTTCAAGTGAAGGTTACATTTTGACAAGTTAGATTACACTGAGCTTGTAACAACCAGACTTCAAAACAAACAACTATTGATATTCAATTTAAGTACAAACAAAACATGAATATAGACTTATATATCATTTTTATACAAGAGTAAGATGAATATGGTGATATCAAAATCTTTTGAAATAACTGTATTTTCAGTTTGATAAACTTTCCTAGTGTAGAAGTCTGGCTTATAGTAGAAGTATAATATGTTATCTTCTATATATATAAAAATGGATTGCTGTTCCTTAGTCTCGCTAAAACTCGAGAACGGCTGAACCGATTTGGCTAATTTTAGTCTTGAAATACTCCTGGAAGTCCAGGGAAGGTTTAAAAGGTGAGAAAAATTGGAATAATTGCCGGGAAAACCCTAAAGACAGCCCTTTTCTATTTCCCATACAAACGTTTTTTGTGACATTAGATTTGACAACTAACTAATATGTCAATCATTCTGTTTGATTGAAACAGGAAAAACCTGATTATTTATGGCCTCTAAGACGGAATAGAGTTCACCTGGTCAGCTATACCTACATATATTACTCTTGACCAAACTAACGCGGACGAAGTCGCGGGGAAAAACTAGTCTTCTATATATATAATAATGGATTGCTGTTCCTTAGTCTCGCTAAAACTCGAAAACAGCTAAACGGATTTATCTTATCTTAGTCTTGAAATGTTCGTGGAGGTTCAGGGAAGGTATAAAAGCTGAAAAAAAATGATTCATTACTGGGAAAACCATAAAAACAGCCCTTTTCTATTTCCTATACAAACGTTTTTTTTTGACATTAGATTTGACAACTAACTAATGTGTCAATAATTTTGTCGCACTTCAAAACACGGAGATTTATGGCTTACAGGTAAACTCCAAAAATATAAATAAAAAAACGTAATTGATATTTCTTTAATATAGGGCGATACGAAGTTCGCCAGGTCTTCTAGTAACATATAAAATTACAATGTAACTATACATCTTAATGACCTAGATCTATTTGATATACAAATGAATTTATTTGAAAGCCTCGTCCATCCTAAATTCAGTAATAGAGCGATGAATACAAGGACATACGTACGTAAAATAGCCAACCTGTCAATGGAAATGCAGACCAACACGTTGGAGCTCAGATACAAACCGAAAGCTCTCATCACGAGAAGGATTTTACACAGAAGATTACCAACGAGTCAGGCGTTCGTGTATTTCCAACCAATCTGGAACAAAGCAAATACGATGAACACGAGAAATAATGACAATGATATGATATGATGCATAATTAAACAATGTTATATATGTTTATACAGTACACGTATTATAAAAGGAATACCAAATATTCATTCACTCAATAGAATGGATGTAAAGATTAATGGGTTAGCGTAAAGAAAATTAAACGTATTCTCTTTAAACCACACTATAGCAACTTAATCAAAAGGTTCTCGTTATAAAAAAATATATAAATAAACATATATAAATCACTAAAATATATTAACTTGCTACAAAATTCGAATAAAATAGTTTTATAATACCACAAGATGTTGCATATATTATTATGTTAAAACGGTAATTAGTTTCGAGTAAACAGAAATCTGTTGAAACGAGTAAATAACAAATTAAATTCCATGTCAATGTTCAAACATCGTATTATTAAAGCATGTGGAAACCACTACCCTACGGCCGAGTCTGTTTACGAAATGATATTAAAATATTAAAGACAGAAAAAGGTTTTGAAAACCGTTTAATAAAAGAGGAATATTATTTCCCTTCCTTTAATTCCAATGATTAATATTTAAATTAAATTATAAGACTTATTTTTCTATTCATATAATCGAAATACTTCACTGTTTTTATTGAAACACAAAATTAAGAGTTACAATAACCTTTTTAAAGAATAATAAAATAATAAACAATCATTCTGTGGGCCACTTTGTGAAAAGTCTTTTATAAATCGAAGTAATTTTACTGTATTAAGTATACAATTGAAATAAATGTTTAAAACAATTTAACAGACACTTGATCTTTAATTTTACAAACCGCTCTTTTCTTTTCTTTGTTTTGTTATTCTACATATAGCTATATATATTTACAAAATTTATTGTATTGCTTAATGAATATCCGTGTTTAATTTTTTGTTTTAGTGAATATTGTACATGGATACTTTTATGACAAAACAATTACCAATTTTATTCTAGAAGTTCCTGGTGCGAAAGCTTTTACCAAAAATATGTATTCATACTTTTTATATGCGCCTTATTTAGAAAGAAAACTTAATGAGACAGATAGATGATTTGTATTGATGTTAGTACTGAAACAACAACTAGATGAGCTGTTATGTAAATTATACAACTCAAAGGAATTCCAGGAATCAATGTTCTTATATGTATATATAGTGTGTATTTATAGTAGGGAACGATATTTGCCAACCCTAACAACACAACCTACTTATTAACCCCTAACTACTCTACATATAAATGAAATTTTTCATCAAAATTTTTACCATTAAGGTTGCAATTTTACGTATTTTGTTTAAAGAAATTCTTATTCACACAACTTGTAATATAATAATGCAGAAGTCTTTAGCTAAAATTAATAGATTAGTAATTGGTGGGAAAAAATTATAAAATATAGCATATGTAAAACAAATTGTTTTATGTCATGCAAAATGTTTGTAAACATACTTTGTCCTTAATAAATATTTGCATAAATTGTACCTCTCTCCCAGTGATCTCGTTTTCTCCAAGCGACATATTTTCCTGTCGTTGAATAATATTACCATAAAACATGATGAATTAGGAATTTTATATAAATATTTTTCCTACTAAGGATGGTTTGTGTTCATTCACTTGATTGAACATGTAATATTAATTCATTAAGGCGGTAAGTTTTACTTTTTAAGTCATAAAAATATGCCTCAGATTTTTCTAAACCTATTATTCAAATAGCTCCTTCAAACTCTTAACTATTTTTTACTGAAACAAAATTCTAACTTAAAGAAATATAGTTGTCCTAACTTACTATAGGAATTATAAGAAAATTAAAAACCATTATTCTTTTTCAAGTTATTTGAACATATTTTACAAAAATAACTGATTATCTACATATACTGTGTTAAAACAGTTCAAAAACTGTCTTTTCGTGCGTTAATAATATATAATGTTAATAACATTATTAGAGATAAGTATTAAAATAGGACTATACGGAGTTCATGTTGTTATCATCAGCCTATCAGAAGCCCACTACTGAGCAAAGGCCTTTTTCTCACATGGAGAAGGTTTGAGCATAAATCACCACGCTTGCTCAAGACGGGTTGGTGATTTCAAACTTATAGTGTGAAACTGTAAGTCCAGGTTTCCTCACGATGTTTTCCTTCACCGTATGTCAGTGATGTCTAAATACTCTTAGAAAGTACATATGACTCCGAAAAATCACATTGGTACTTGCCAGGTTGATGTGCCAGATGATTAAATAAGACCTATTACTGACTATTAATAATACTGATTATTATTCTACATTAAATCTCTCATTGGAATTTAATTATTACTATTCTATAAGGTTTGATGTACATAATTGAAATGCATTTCAACTATATATAGAATATTTATATCAGTCTACGATAAGTCAGTGGTGGCCTAGTGGTTAAAAAGCCCGCCTATCATGCGCGAGGGCGCGGGTTCTATCCTGGCCCGGGCAAGTACCAACTTTCTAAGAGTATTTTTAGACATCACACATTAATGCTGATTCCCAAAGAAGTTTGATGTCAGGCAGGCGGCCGGTCGTATAAAAAAAATAGTCAAAACTATTCACAACATGTAAGGCAGACCCTGGCCCCATACCCCGGCTATAGCTGGGAAATTGCCAAGTAGAAGAAGAAGATATAATAGGTCTACGATCATAAAGACTGCGATAGTAAATGGTTATCGAGTTGTGAGTTATTTTACGTTGTTATTAAAATCTTGCTAACCTCAATGTATGATTGTTCGTATGTTACGATTCTTGATTTATTAAAAGTTTAAATTCCCCGGTCAGATATACATACTTTCGTGTAATCTTTTGCATATTTTTTTGTTTAAAATATATTTTGTTTCAAAACAGTATTATTATTTTAGTAAGAAGTATATAAAATTGTATGAATGAATTAAAAAATACAAATAATATTAAATATGTTAGATCCCTAATATTAATAATATATGCAAATCAGTGGCTTAATATTACTAATGCAATGAATTTATAACATGATTTAATAAGATGTACGTATTATTATGAAAAATCTTTCTCAGTCTGTCCGAGCCCTTCAAACCCCTTCGTAATGGGTCAGTCCCGGCTCTGGCCCACTCTAGGTGACGCTGTAAAAGCCACAGAGCTAACAGCATTATACATAAAAAAGCTCTTTCTTATTATTAAACAGTTCTTTGTACTCGCAATAATTAATATAATACAGTAAAACAATATTTTACTTCAGAACAACTAGTCAGATCAATGATTGGAGTCAGTAATTATCAAAGAACTTTTAAAGTCTTAAATACCCAACCCCACTCGCAGGTCAAGTTATCTGGCAGTAGGTGAAAGAACACTATCTTCTAGACATTTATTATAATTATGAGCTATGACATATATTTGATTTATGTAACACATTGTATTAGTAGAGGAAAACACGAATATGTTCCGTCAATATTAAATTGTATGGAATAATACGAGTATATACCGCACAAAAACATATTCGTATTGTTACAAGAACCTCCTTTATAATTAGGTACATGTTGATTATTATAATAACTTTAGGTAGATGTGAGTATTACCGGGATAAAATTAATTATTGATTCATAACAATGAATTATATATACAAGAAATTATAATATTATCTTTATTTAGTATTTATTGTAACGATAAAACTGTGTTAAATTTGTCTCGGAAATATTAAGTCGATGTACAAAATATGTATATTGATGCTTATAATAAATAATAATACTGGGTTCAACCAATACGTATGCTATTAATAAAATAAACAGTATAAATCATAAAAAATTTAAATTTCCATTGTTACGATGCCCAACGTAACTATAAGAGCTGTAATAACTTTTACTTGGAACCATTCTACTGATTATAATATTCTAGTAAACTCTTTGTATTATATATTATTTATAATATATAATACAAAGAGTTCAAATGTAGAAATAAAGTTTAAATGTAGAAATAAAATGTAGAAATAAGAACCAAAATTTTAATTCTTTAATAATAAGAAAATAAAGAATAAAATCCCATAATAATAATAATAATAATGAAGTAAACTTTTCAGATGTTCAATATAGTTTTTTCATTAAGACTTACATACATCGATAGTTTTAGATACAAAGTAATTCACTTTAAAGCATTCATCGTTAGTTTAGATTGAGTAGAATAATCTTACAAGAAAATTCCTTCCAATGAAGTAAAATATTTACTGGTTATTAATATATAGAACTCTTACTATTCCCAAAAAAATATTCCGTCATTTATAATCGTTGTTTTTGTGTCAACTTATATTCATTAATGTGAAACTGGAAAAGTATTCACTAATTACATCGAAAAACATTTTGCTAAAACAACAAGAATATGTCGTAATAAAATCCAATACTAGACGATCCTAAGAAGTGACTTTTGTTTGAAATTAAGTTCAAATAATATTCCTATATGTACAAATATACACTTAACAAAATTTCATGTTTTCATCAACCAGGAGTAAGTTTCTTGTTAAACATTTAGACATCATGCTTATATTTTGACGAAAACTTATTATTAATAATTATTATTATTAATTAATAAGATATGTTGAAAAATATTTTTAAACTAATTTATTAATTCTATATTTTTTTGTTTGTATTCTTCAAAATTTATTACACAATATCTATCCAACCTTCACTGTGAACGGGTAAAATATCTTAATGTGATCTATTTAATTTGAAATCTTCTGATGCACGTCATAAACTAAAAACGATAAGTTATAAGAACGATTTAGTCTTTGAAGCATGATCTGGAATGAAAGTCTTATTGGTCAGCTCTCTGTCTATGACATCGTGGTTTGATTTCCTTCATCTCTAACTTATTAAGAAATCGTACCTTGTAAATAGTTTTTAATGTCAACTCTTTTGTACCAAGTGCGATCAATACAGGGTTTCTCAGGAGTCTGTCCACACTGCAACTTTATTTTTCTTCTTTTTAACGACCTGCTATTACATTACTTATATGACAGATTAGTTGTGGATGGCACCAATCCATCTCTAGGGATAGACAGGGTC